ATCCAAGGCACAGTGGGATCACTTCCTTCACCCCCTGAAGTCTCAGCTCAGTTTTCCTGCCCTGTACCTGTCACCTTTAGAGGCAAATGCTACCAGCAAGGCATCCGACAGGGATATCTGAGGTCAGGAAGCAGAGGAGGAGGGAGTTGATGGCAATGATGGACATGGGACCTCACAGTGCAATTCACAGCATAATCCTGGATCTGTGCACAGGGATATGGTCATTTGTGCTGTGTGATGCTACATTGCCGTGGTTTTCTCTGCTGGCCACACAAACTTGAGTCTCAAAGCAAGGTCTTATGCCAGAGGAAGAAGTTTTCACACACTATCTCCTTACCTGTGTCGCTCTGGACCAAGCTGTATAACCAGATTTAATTTTATAAGATTGGTGCTGCTGGTAGGTGTCTTCCATAGGAAAATATTGCTGCTGATCCACAGCTGGATATTGGGATCCTTATTAAGATGATCAATTAGCTGAAGAAAATGAAGAGAAGGAGGGAGGGCAGATGCAATTAGAACAAGTTTGAGGCTGTAAAGAGCTGGCAATGATGTGTTTTGTACCTGGAATCTGGAAACATTTAATATCATGTCAGAGAGAAAAGGACAGTATAGATATCCTCCCAGGAGGGAGGAAAAAAAACGAGGTCACTTGCCTTTGCTGAGGGTTTTTTTTCCTAACTTTGGATGTATTGAGCTGTGTAATAACTTGCACATATCTGGAAGCAATGCAGAGCACAGCAATCAATAATACAAGCAACAATAATCAGGTGTTTCAGCCATCTGACACAAGCAGTCTCCAAAGATAATTCTCTCCCACAGGACATTGCTGAACATAACTTCAGTTTATTCCTAGCAAAAAAAAATAAATGCTTACCTGCTGTGCAGAGACAAACCTTGCCAACCATTCTCCTCCTGAAAACTGGAAAGGGATGGAGGTGCAGGGAAAACCAGTGGGAAACAACCACTGGAGCTGGTGGTGGCCAGCAGAGCTGGAGCAATCTGTCACCAGTGTCCTTAAAATCCTTAGAAAGACCTCAATAAACAGGAACTTTGTTCAGCAGTGCCAGGAGAGCAGAGGGAAGCACAGAAGAGTTTGAGGCTGCATTTTGTGTTTGTCAGGGACAGAGGATCCTGGCCCAAGGGACACAGGGGTTGTGTGTCACTGTCACTGTGGCTCTTGAGCAGGGTAAGCTGCAGCGTGAGCCCAGCCTGGTCTCATAAAGCTGCCCATGAATGAGACAGCACTGGAAATTCCCCCTGCCCCTGTGTGGGATCAACCCAGGTCAGTGCAGCCAGAACCAATCCCAGGTATTTATTGTAGAGTTAGAGAAAAGTTTGGGTTGGGAGGGACCTTAAAAACCATCATGTTCCACACCAACATGGGCAGGGACACCTCTCACTATGCCAGGTGGCTCCAAGCCAAATCCAGCCTGGCCTGGAATCTTCCAGGGATCCAGGGGCAGCCTCAGCTTCTCTGGGCACCCTGTGCCAGGGCATCACCACTCCCTCAGGGAAGAATATCTTCCTAATATCTCATCTAAACCTACTCTCAGTTTAAGCCTTTATCACAGCAGTTACATGTCTCTGGTTAGGGTGGTTGTTTTTTTCTTATTCTGTTAGCTGGATCTTCCTGCTGCCAGCCTTGCCATTAAAAAAGTAAAATTAAAGTAACCCAAATCGTTAAAAAGTAAAACAAATATAAACTGGACTTTAGCCACTTGCGTGGCCGCATTGCCAAGCAAAGGCAGAGAGGAGCTTTGGTGATCAGACACCATCAATGCTGAGCTCTTCCCCTAACAGTAATACCATCATTCTTAATTGGCTGTAAAAATGAGATGCTTCTCAAGCTACTAAAATCCAAAATTCCTTTCTCATCCAGCATCACCAAAATGACATTTATGTTATTCAGGATTGCTATCCCCTTTCAACCCAGAGAGTCAGCGCGACAGCACATAAATTTTTATGCCTGTCCAGTACAAGGCACTGCATAAAAAGAGAGAGGGCATAAATGATGTAATTGATGTGAGAGTTTTTGCCACGGCCTCCCAAAAAGCAGAAAAATTCACTGCAGGTGGTGAAGGAGGAACTCTGTGCCTCCTGTTTGGAGCTTCCCTCCTGGGAGCTCCCACAAACCAGGCTTGTGCCTGCACTACAGTGCCACTCTGCTGAAGAGTCTATTAGTAAAAAGGAGAGAAACAATGATTTTCAGATGGCAGAGTATGAAATAATCAATACTTCTCCTTATTCACAAGCAGAAGAGTGGCAGATAAGGATATATACCAGTCACAGACACAATGTTTAATAAAACATCTTGGTCTTTGTCACTCTAGGCAGTTTTCTGCCACATTTTATAGGTCACAGTCCATGAAATTTCATAGGAACTTTCATATCTATTCTCTCTAGCAGGATATGACATTTATTTGTTATTAAACCATATAATTTAGGGAGAATGAAGATACTTTATCCAAAACAACATGTGAAGTAGTCTTTCCAACAATGATTTCTCTCTAATGTATCTGTATTTTGGGACCTCTATATAAACCTGAGAGCTTCTTATTTTTTTTTAATGGGAAATAACAGAGGAATATAATTTTGTAGTGATTGTATGATAAGAGGCCAAGATATTTGTTAAACTCAGGGCACAACCTTTGCTTGTTTTTTCACCTGCTGAGCCAGACTGTCACCACAAAAACCTGTCAGCTTTAATCATGAGAAACATGAGCAGTGGGGAGTTAATCGTGGTCAGTGCTAAGCATTGATCCACTCCTAAACACCTGCAAGTCAAGAGAGGATTTGTGGTGGGCACAGCTGTTATTGCTTCTGGCAGATGCAGGAGGAGGGAAAGGTGAGTGGAGTGGAGGTTGAGAAGGATCTAAGATTGAGAAAAAAGCATGAGGAAATGCCTCTTTCTCTCCAGTCCAGTGGGTTTGTAAGAGGATTCGCCAACTTTGATTAATCAAATGTGTCCTTGATGTTTTGGTTGTAGCACATTGTCCCATAGGCCTGATACCTCTTTTGGGATGGACCTGCTGGCTGTCAGCTAAACTTCCCTTATGTACATTTTTTATATGTAAAAATCCTTTGGACCACACTTGGGAGAACAGAGGGTGAAGGAGAGAAAGAGAAACACACAGGAGAAGAGCAGAGTGGGATTCTGGGTCTGTGTCGTTCCAACAGAACAGGGTTGTGAGTCATCGAAATTGCTGGTTTGCCATAGCTTCAGTGGTGGCTTGAAAAGTCCCTTTTTATCCCTAGGTCCACGTTCTGGAAAAGTATTGCCCCATTCAGCTGAGGAGGCAGCCCTGGAGGGGTCAGCACTGCATGTCCACGGAGCTGGTCCCTCTTGCAGCTGGCTGGGGCACACAGCAGCTTGCCTGACCTGCAACTTTCCTTATAAAACCAGAGAAGACACTGCTGTGTGAAAGCCCTCAGGGCTTGTAACCTTACTGAGATAATCTATTTTAGGGGAAAAAAAAAAAACTGTAGAGATTTTTTAGCAGCCCAGACCGTGTGAGGGTCTGTAGATAGCTGTAATAATTCCTGCTCGCTCAAATCGCAAAGCACACTGCTATCAAAATTTAATCTGGGCTTTTTGGTGAATAATCATATTTCACTCATTTTCCTCCATACTGCTGCTTGAGATAAATGAACCCCTTCTGTGCCACCACCAACCCAGAATTCATAGGCCAATATTTTACACCCGGGGCCAACAAATGTGGGGAGTGGTATTTTATGACCCATCTCAGTAGCATTTCCAGCATCTGTCTCTCAAATTCGCTCATAGCCTTGAGTCCAAAATGAGATGACAGCGGTCTCTTTATCAACCAGCATCACCTTTGGTCATGAGACACCAGGGTCTGGCAAGAGCAGTCTTAACTTGGCAGGGAACTACCTGGGGATGGCATTTCTTGGAACAGGAGAACCCCTGGCCGGTGACCAGTGCTGCTGCTGAGCCGTGCGAGGTCGCTGATTTTCATCCCTCCACGTTCAGGCCTTTGGCAGCAGTTCATGGAAATCTGTCTGGGTTAGATCTCCTCTCTCTTGGAGAGACTCTGATTCCTCATCTGGGGCTGGAGGTGCTCTCACAGTGGGAGGAAGAGGAAGCAGACAGGTGGGGTTTCATTTTTGTGGATTGGGAAGCATGCTAGATGTATATCCAAATACACGTGGTTTTCCTGGATTTTCCTGGTCTCCTCTTATGATCTTCTTTTGCCTTCTACCCAAGTATTCCCCTTTCCTACAAAATCCCCAAAACAGCTGTGGGTTAGGCATGGAGGTGCTAGTTTTACTTTTACTTAATCCTGGTGATTTCAGTCAGTTTTTTGCTAAAAGGTATTCTTCAAACCATCTTTTTCTCAGAACAAAACAGTTTATCTCAGTCCTTGCAAACTTTGACAATCACCCTGAATCTTGAAAATAATACCTTACATTTGATGTGGTTTTGATTATAAATGTACCTGTGCAATTTCCTACTCACACTGCTTCTTGCACACCCTTCCTAAGCACTTACAGCCTAAGTGAAGCTAAATCCCTCATCTTAATAAAAATTAGAACTTTCATGTGTCAGAGGTGAAATATATTTTGGTACAGTTCTCTGTTTGAGTGTATCTGTACAGATATTAATCAGACATTCTTTACAGGGATTTGCTCTGAATGAGCAGGTATATTATTATATTATAAAGGCAGGCAGTTAATATTACAGTGAATAGTTTCCTGTTAACACAGAGCATCACTGCCTCTCTGTGAGTAGAGAATGACTTAGCTCAAAGGAACATCTTTCATCTGTGTAAATGGTTTACTGGGGGGCATTGCAGATAGTTCTGAATAGAATTTTTTTTCTCCACAGAAACTGAGCTACAAGCATAACACAAGTAATTGCATTCTCTAGTGCCTCCCAGTGCTATACATGTTATCTTCAATGGGAAAAATCAGCTATTGGCAGCCTGGTGAATTTAGTAATTGTAACTAATAGGGTTGTTTCTTTTTTGCCTGTCTTTCAGGATGGAATGGGGAACCTGAGGATCACAGAAAAGGGTCTGAAGCTTGAAGGAGATTCAGAATTCTTGAAACCTCTCTACGCCAAAGAAATCCGATCAAGACCAGTAAGTTTTTGGGAAAGGAATAAGTTTGTTTCTGTAGCCCTTACAGAAAGAAACCATGAAGGGGCAGCGTGATATGGCTACTGGATAAATTGCTTTGGCCATTGGCCTCTCTATACAGGTGCAGTTTGGGGAGTGAGGCTTTGAGGGCTTCATCCAGACACTGCATCCTTTGGGCAGTTCCACAGTTGACACCCATGGCTCTGGTTTGTGTAATCCACAGTTAAAACTCTTCAGGACCTCTGAAGTTTCACACTGTCTTTGCTTTCTTTTGAGGTAGATCCTAAACCACTCTAAACTGGAGGAGCTGTTCTTTCTGAGGCAGAGGGATGGCTGGCCGCTCTGAAATCAGCTCACTTTTAACCAGTTACAGCTTACCTGGATAGCAGAGGGATGGCTGGCAGCTCTGAAATCAGCTCACCTTTAACAGTTACAGCTTACCTGGATAGCAGAGAGGTGCTGCCTTGGCACAAGGGCCCGATCTGATGTTCATTAGCACATTGAACCCATATTATGTCCTCAATCCTATTTCATGTTGGTTTAAAAATATCTGTAGTTAAAATTCAATGCTGCTAGGAGTGACTGCTTGACAAAAGTGGCAAGAATGTTAACTACTGGAAATGAGAAAGAACCCAAGTGTGATTGAAATAACATTTTCATAGCAGCACTTTGTTGGCTGTTGGTGACTTTTGGTCTTTCTAATGCAATCCTGTATGTCCTGAGCAGCTTTAAAATAACTGAAACAATTACAGAGTTTCCAGGATCTGTGTCAGAAGATATCATCTGTCTTGTTTCCTGATCTAAAGTGTTAATTTGAGTCAGATACCAACCTTCCCTTTTGATAACAACGGCAGATAGCTAATTAAATAAACTTAACATCCTTTTATCTTAGCATTTCAGTGCTCTTGTAGAAATTGGAACTTGGAGCATAATTAACAAAACAGCCAATACCATACCCCATTTAATTATTGAAGGTTGTAACCTCTGTAAGATGGCTAGGAATTCATTTGAACAAGCATAATCATTCAGGAAGAAAACTTAATAAGAAAACCTTCATATCTATAAATGCTTTCAGCCCTGAATTAAAACAGAACCTGTAAAACCTTCCATGTCATTCACCTTTTAATATAAAATATGTGGGAACCAGGTGCAGCAGTTGGTTTGATAAATAGGCTGACAAATCACTACCTACATTTCTTTTTCTCTACTTACATTAATGAAAATAACATTTGATTGCTAAGAGAAGTGAGAACTACTTCTTGCTACTGGGGAGTTTACTGTTTTCATATTATCATATTGATCTACATTTTAATACATCAGGGGGTACAAAAGGTGTCCCTTTCCTGAGGCTGTGGGAGTAATTTCCACACACCATTGACAGATTACTGAGTGCCAGGAACAAGAAATGTAAGGTGGGGCCTGTGTGTGTTCCTTGCTTTATCCCCCAGCCAGGGTTATTTTTGCTGTTAGCTGGAGGAGGGTGTAGCTGCCAGCCAGAAGCTCTGATCTGCAGGCTGGGGAGCTGCAGCATCCCTTGCCCTCAGCAGATGAGTCCTGCAAACTGTGTCAACCACATACTTACACAGACCATGCACATTGTTCCTCTGACTTCTGCAATAAACTGGAATAGCCTCTGCTGGATTTTAGGTTGCTTGTGGTAAACCTGGAATTATTTTTGGGCGGGGGGCAACAGCAGAGATCTTGGTGCATTCAGACAACTTCTGCTTTCCTGTGCTGTGTGTGAATTTGGCTTCTTGAAAGGGAATGAAAGGATTCAGTCAACCAAAGGTTTATAGTTACAGAATATTTGAAAATATTGTTAAATAATCAACACTCAATCTTTTTAAAGAGCAGTAGTATGATCCAGTGTTGTCTTGGAGGGAAGCGTGGTAGCAGTTCCTGAACCTGATGAATATTGTTAAAATGAGGTGCCAAACTCAGAGCTCAGTAACAGATGAACATCCATACTAATGCTAGAGTGAACTTCTCTGGGTTTTCAGGAGTGCATAATGCAGCTTTAAATATGTGAAGAGTAACAGAAACAAATATGACAAATAACAGAGTAAAGAGCATCCCAGAAATAATCTGACATCTACAATTTTTCATATGCTTAATTAAACAACCTAAGAGTTGTGTACAGTAATAAATAATGGTTTCATATGAACTCCAAAGACTTTTAAATGCTGGTTATTTATAGAATAATTAATTTATTTTTCTTTATAAACTCAAAATTTAACTTCAGTATTGTTCTGTGTAGTGGGTGAAGGAGCATTGCTACTGCCTGGAAAGGGCAGGGAAAAATCACTTTTCCTGTAAGTGGCTGCAGTTCCATGAGCTCTATGCCCTGGGTTTTCCCACTCTTGTGTCTCTGTGGTGCTGCAGAGCTGCACACAGAGCTGGGAAACCCCTGCCAAAATATTTCCAAAATGAGAATTGTGATTATTCTTGAAAGCCTGACTTTGTCACTGGTGCCTCTTCTCTGCTGCATCTCTTGAATCCCAGGAAGTTGGTAATTAAAATTACACACAGACTTGCATTCCTAGGAGCTTTGCCTTCTGTTTTAATGATAGTTTTGGATTTCCACTTAAAAGTGGATTTCTTTTTCAAATTGATTTGGCTGGAAGAGAAGATCAAGGATTAGACAGGAGGAAAAGCCCTCCAATGTCATCCCTAGGGACTGCTGGGTGGGCAGCTCTGAGCTTCTGTGCCTTAAGGAGCCCTGCTGGGTCCTGCTCCCTTCGTCACCTGAACAGGCAGAGGAGCTGCACTGAGATGTGCTTCTCATCCCAGCTTAAAATTCCAGATTTTAGCAGAAGGATTGGATCGATGTGGTTTGGACCCAGGCAGAGAAATCACTGACATGACCTGACTTCTTAAACCTGCTGCCGTCCAGTTTGTCTCTGCATCTGACACCCCCAAGATTTGCTTTATTTTTCCCTCACCCACTCAAGAGTGACCCCCCAAATTCTTTCTGGTTTTATAGAGAGAAGAGGATCTCTGTTCCTGCTGTTTTCCATCCTAGTCCTGCCTCAGTAGTACTGGATTTTTCTTATGGGTTGGGAACCTGTTTTCAGGCATCAGAGCTTGCAAAAAAATGTAACCTTGCAATTTTACAATCCTAAAGTTTATCTGGAGGTTAATGAGTGGGTGGTAGGAGTGTTTGCACCTTTGTAGCCTTCTTTTTAAAGAAAAGAGATGGATGTGTTCCCTTTTCCCAGAGTGTTCAGAGCATCCTGAACTCCCAGCTGAACATATTGCACACTGAGCAGTGTTTTTGCCTTGCATGGAACATGAGCATCTTGCTGCCTTTAATTAAGAAGATAGCTGGACCATGAAGTATTGCCTGTGTAAATAAAAGTGATTTGTACTTAGTCAAGGAGCTACATTAGGAATTCTCACATTTCTTTACTTGCAGATAAATTATGAAGATTATTAAAAATTGGAAGGGTCATCTATAAACCCATCTGTAGCTCAGCTGCACTGTCACTCTCAAAATGTAGCTGTCTTTCTAACTGTTGTAATTTATTGTGGACTATCGTGTGAACCATCTGCTTGCTTATAAATCAGACCAACTTTGACTGAAAGTTGTACCCAGCAGTAGAAATCGTTAATTTTATGTCCTGGAAAGTAGTGGCAACAGTTTAGGGGACTTCAGTCTTCATTGCCTTAAATGGAATAGAAATTTAAAACTGGAAATTTTCCTGCCTGTGTTGAGATGAGCTGCTAAGAAGCAAGTTGTTTGCAATTTAGAATTAGTCCACATTTAGCTTGCTTAGTGCACTTGGGGTGTTTGGAAGCCTGGCACATCCAGGTCTGTAAGGAACCTGAAAGGGGCAAGACCCAGAAGAAGCTGTGTGCATTTTCCATCCAGATAACAACAGAAATAAAATCCTGTGCTGCGATTACACAGGAAAATCCAGTGAATTACTTCTCCCAGGAGCTGTCTGACAACCAATGAGATGATAATCTCAGTTTCAGGAAGCAGAGAAAAACATTGCCATGACAGGATTAGGATGGGTTTGCCCTTTCAGTGTTCGTTCCAAGCGCATAGATAGGAAAGAAAAATAAACTCAGTTTGCAAATGTTTACACCTGGGCTTTATTTTTCTTACTCTGAACACTTTTAAAGAGAAGAATATGGATTTGCCTGAGAACTTTGACTTTGCTTCAGTAAAAAGCACTTGACCTCCTTTAAGCTTTCTTTCAGACTCTCCTATTGATGGGTCTGGGAACAGAGAATTAAATGTGGGCACCAAAATTTCTACCTGGGAGAGCTCCAAGCTATGCTGTTGCACAGGTGTAAGGGATGGCAGAATTCTCTGAACAGATTTTGAGGAGATTTTCAAGTCCTTTAGTGTATGTAGCTAGTTTCATGTTGAAGGTTTGCTTCTGGTTATTTTTAATCAGCTAAAAAATTAGTTAAAAAGAAAAACCCGATACATCAAAGAAAAAAGAGGCAAAGGACTGTGTCCTTTTGTTATTTCCCTTTTTTGGGGGATGTTAGAGGTCCCTGTCCCACTCAGTGTGGCAGGGAGTGACTCAGAGCACCCTGCTTGCTCAGACTGTTGGAGCAAACCTGCCCTCATTTGAAGCCATGGAAAACAAGTGGTGACTCCAGTGGAAGGAGGGCTGGGCTGTCACTGACACTTGGCTGGGGTCCTGCAGGGGCATCTGTTTGGCCTGAAAAACTCCCAGTTGTGAATTAGGGCTGATAACTGCTATTCCCTTTACTGGTGTTTAGTAAGTTCTTATCAGAGTAAAAGCTAGACCAGCAAGTGCCTAAAATATGTTTCTCTGTCCTTTGCATTCTCCCCAGCCAGTATTTGAATGATAAAAATTTTAAGGGAAGCTTTTAGGGTGATAAATAATTATTTTGCCAATGTACTCATCTCACTATGTTCCGTGCTGGAATAAGAGTGCTGTAATTTAAAAGCACTTCTGTAATGGCTGTATTCTTTGGTGTTATTTGCTCTGCAGGTCTACCTGCCTCCAAGCTAAAAATAC